GATTTAATTTCTTACCACCACCTAGATGAAAACACTATTTTTTCCAATAAATTTTAAAAGTATAAGTTTTTATGTTATTGGAATTATTAATTTATTATGTATGAATTTAACTGATAGAATTTAATAATAAGAAGAAAGAAAAATGTCTTAAATATATGATTCAATGAAGGTGAATAAAAATTAATACCTTAAGTGTTGGATTTAATGAGAGGGAATTGAATGCATTGAATATCTTAAAGTTACCTCTTTTAGCATCAATGATCAATTATGCTATTTGCCCTCATTTTTTATCAATAAATTTAAATATGGAGGGGCAAATTTTGTTCTCAAAAATTCCAGAAATATTCTTGATGCTATTTGCACTTTTTAAAGAAGTATAGATATCTATATCTATACTATATATAAAAGTGTAAATGAAATTTGAAACTTTTTTGATTAAAATTACCCCTACTTCTTTATTTGAAAAAGGGTATAAAAGTTATTTTATTACAGCTTTAATGTCAACTTTAATGGCTACTAAAATGCCTATAATTGTGTATTTAGTCCATCTCTAATGGTAAAGTTAAAAGTGTAACTTTAATTATTACTTTCTGCCTCATTTAATCCATTCTCATTAAAAATCTTATACTTCAATTATTAGCTCCAATTTCCTTATTAAATTAGACATGTGTCAATATTTTTAATAATATAAACCCATATATTTTAAATCTAACTCAAAAACAAAACTAGTTTTAATCCAAATTGTGGTTAAAGCAATTCAACCATCTGAGTCAAATTGATCAACCTAGGAAGTTATAGTTAGGTAATAAAATTTTTAAAATATATAGATACTTACAAAAAAATGTAGAAAAGTTAGATACATTTATAATATTTTTATTAATCAAATTAAAAAAAAATAAGTGTAATAAATAAGAATTATTTTTATTGGTAATGAAAATGAAATACATAATTTAGAACTGACCAAAAATGAAATTATTTTACTATTTGGCAAAGATCAATAGTTCAAATTTTGGGTCAAACATGTTAACCTTTAATGTCATAAATAAATAATAAAATATAAAAGTACAAAAATGAAAAAAAAAATACATAAATTTTGCAAAAAAAAAAACATTTAGGCACATGTACAATATCATATATTTATCATATTAAACAAAAGTAAGTGTGAGATATTAGAATTATTTTTACAGACAAAATACAAAAAAAAAAGTAATAGAAAAAATTAAACACATCTATAATTCTACATTTACACTACTATYAAAAATATGAATAAGATTGTGGAACTTTCTTTTGACTAATATACTCATTTTTTAATTTAGTCCCTATTTAATTATGATGTTTAAATTGTAAATGAAACTACTACTTTTTACCCCATTCAATTCCTTCTATTTAAATCATAATTTTTTTATTAATGAACAAAAAAAGATACACCAAAAAGATTAAATATTACAAAAAGAAAAAATCTAATCAATCAAGTAGGCCTATCAATGATACTTGAAACATTCACAACTTGATCCGATAATCATATATTTGGATGAGGTGTTTATGTCATCTGATTTGGATATTCAATCCACATCCGATTAAGCAATGGATTGTTCAATCCACATCCAATCTATGATACTTGAAACTTCCCTCCTTGGGTTCAAGTTTTCCCTTTTTAAATTTTAATTTAATGCATATCTGTTTAATGAATTGTTGTTTTGTTTCAATAATAAAATGTAGTAAGAAAGAACTTAATGTGAGTTTTTGGTTATCTTCATAAGTTCAATTTTGAAATTATTTTTTAATTTGATTATTAATCTCATTCTAAGCACATTTTTTGGTTTTATAGGGCCACACAATGGGAGATAGCCCATTGCCCCAACCCATAAAGTATCAACTGAGCCACAATCACTTGGTTGATGTGCTTTCATAATATATAAACTATATAAAAAGGAAAGTTTGAAGCTCGATAACTAAAATACAGCACTATATGTAGATAAAAATACAGTAATACGTGCATCGCACGGGCCACTACTAGTAGCTATATCTATATAATAAACGGGAAAGAGGAGAGGCGAAGGGTAATGCTCCACAATGCTCACACGAAGGCTTATATCTCTTTGTTCTTACACGTGTGGGTAATTTTTACTTAAAAACTAAAATACAATAATATCCTTTATTAGACAATACATAACCCAACGATAATGCCAAGATGGATAGGTTCAACTTGGTCCAATTACGAATGTTCTAAGACTTTTGTCTAAATGTTACTTAACAAAAGCCTATGCACTGCACTTAAGAGTAATAAAACTAATAAATTAGAATAAAATAGTAAAAGTTAAAGTAAATAATAAAAATTAACACAAGTTTGTCTAACAACATGTAACCCAAAAATAGTTTGGGGTAGACTAGGTACCACTTGGCTGGCCCAATTGATATTATTTGTCACAATTTCTTTTAAGAATACTTGTGCATGGCACCGGAGACGCGTGGGGGCCGATTGGTATATACTAAATATATTTTTACTTTTTTTCATTTTTAATATACTTAATATGAGTTTATTTATAATTTTTAATAAAAATCTATTTATAATCAGATCGAATTGAGCTAAGCTCAAGTAAGGGTGTCAGTGGGTTTTGGATCGGACCCCATCCAGTCCAAAATCAATTTGGATGGATTGGACAGACCCATAAGACATTGGATTGGACCAATCCAGTACAAAATATTTATTAGATTGGATTAGACCTGGTCCATCCGTTATAAATTTATATTGGATTGGGTTGGATTAAGCTAATATTTAGTCCATTGATATAAGATAAGAATATAAGGTGTTAATGGACCAGGTTTAGGTTGAAACCAATCTAAATCAAAACAAATTTGAATAGATTGGACGATCCAAGCATTGAATTGGACCAGCCCAAAATGGTCCAAAATATTCATTGGATTGGATTGGACCTGGTCCATTTATAATGGACTAACATTGGTCTGGATCTGATTGGACCATATCCAGTCCTAATGACACCCCTAAGCTCAAGTAACTCGTGAATATTGACTCGAGTTAAATTCGAACCAGAAATTTTGAAAGCTGGAATCAAGTTTCGAGCTCTGCCTTTCTAAGTCCAGCTCGAGCAGCTTGATAACTCGACTCGATCACACACACCCCTAGTTCCAAGACGGGAGAAAAAAAACTCCTTAAGACAATCCTATGGGTATCAAACTCATTGTATCGATCGCTTTCAAAAAGAAAAGGACGATTAGCAGATAACTTCTGAGCCTGGACTCAATAACTCCTCTCAGACCCATTGCTTCCGCCATGAACGGTGGTGACGCCTTGACACTTCCAAGCTTTAACCATCAGAAAAGAGCCATTGCCAGATCTTATTACAAACCAAAAGCTTGCAAGGTCGCATCAAAAACAGCTGCCAGCCTGCCATCAACGAAATTTGTATGTCAAGATATCACTAAATTTCGACAATTCTATTTACGCCACATGTACGTCATTAGAAACGGAAACAAATCTCACAACGAAATTTGTACGTCTAGAAGGTTAAAACCAATATTCAAAGTATCATTATGTATCAGCTTGTATCAGCTGATACGTATCATTCTGTGACCTTTTAGATATACCCCTACAGTGAGTGTATCGGGGGTCTGACCGGTTCAAGGGATGGAGGGGTCCTAGACCGGCTCCTTGAAATAATTTAAAAAAAAAAGTAATAAATATCAAAATACCCGATACATCGGACGTATCAATATTTTGAACCTTGGCTAAAACCATCACCTGCTTGGACACTGGAACATGGAAGAACTAACAAAGAAAGAACCAAGCTCTAAAACGATGCAAATTACGAAGGAACGGAGAACTAGTTGGAAAGACCAGATATCCATGCTTTACCAGTTGCAACTAGAAATGAAACCTTTTTGGATTTAAATTTTTTGTTGAAAGTCATGATTCTAATCTAAGTAATTGTAACATAATATAGACTTGGGACCAGTAAAACAAGAAATAAATCGCACTCCAGTAACCATAATGACCAAAATCCAAAACTACCACCCTTTTAATGCATTTGGTTAGACCTTCGCTTATATCTAACACTCAACTGATTGGATCAACATCTATCACCAGGGTTTACTCCAATGTGAGTCCATTACAAATACACCTGATTCAATCCAGTTCGATGAATATTTAGACCATTTTAGAGAGGTCCAATTCAATGTCTAGACAATTTATTGTAATTTATATTGGTTTCAATTCAAACCTGGTTCATTGACACCTGTATGACCAGGTATTGGCTCAATCTAACCCAATCTAATATAAATTCATTACAGGATGGCCCAGATCCAATCCAATAAATACTCTGGACCATGAAGTCTGAATTGGTCTTATTGATCCATCGAGAAGAGTCCAACCCAAAACCAGACCATTGACACTCCTACTTATCGCTTAATAGTTACCGGTGAACAGTGATGCTTTTATGTGCTTCTTTTAATATTTTACATGTAAAACTTTCATAGTCTTTCAATATTTTGAATTCAAACACTCCCTCCAAACAGGGACAGATTTATGACTTACGAGGTGAGGGAATCAACAAGTTACCAAAAATAATATTACGTTTTTAAAACGTTTAGGTCCCATACAAGTTGAAATTGGATTTCGGAGATCCAAAACAACGCCATCAAATATAGAGATAAATAATCCACGTCATTTTGCAGGGATCCTGGGATAAATTGCACATAAGGGCCTTGCATCCAGATAAAAAAATCGAGTTTGTATGGCTCTTCAATGCACACATTCTTTTGAAAACTACAGAAGAAAATACTCAATTCATTCCAAAGCCAATAGAATCGCACAACTAGAATTACTTTTCGAGTTTTCCAAGCCAAAGGTTTTTTGTTTTACTCGGTAATCCGGTTTCTATTTGCATGATAAAAAAAAGTAATTCGGCTTCTAAAAGGAACGAGGCCCAGAAACTCATCCACTGTGCAAGGAATATTTCCGAATTTGCAATGCAATTTGAATATTTAGGCCAAAATAAGAAACTTTCAAATATAATGCAGATATATTTTAAGTATATCAGAGTAGCAATTTGTTAAAACTAAAATATAAATAAACAGATACCACCTCCAAAAACACTGAACAGTCTCAGGTGCTTTACCATGTCTATACCACAACATCCAACAAGGAAAACAAAGGCCAAATTACCCCAGAATGTGAAATCCTTGCCATGTCTATACCACAACATCCAACAAGGAAAACAAAGGCCAAATTACCCCAGAATGTGAAATCCAATCCCCTCTAAGCGAATAATAAACTAAATGAAGTATCCAAAAACTCACATATGAACCTAAGCTGCAACAGATGGCTTAGAAGCAGCAGAGAGTCTTGATCTTTTCTTGGCTAGGCTCTCACTACGACGTTCCCTCTGCTCCTTCAACCTAGAGGCAAGGAGCTTCTGGTATTCAGCAGCCTCAGACTTGGCCTTTGCAATTCTCTTCTTCTTCTCAGCAATTCTTGCTCTCTTCCTTTGTAGGGTCAATGGAGTTACTAATCGCTGTATCTTTGGAGCCTTACTGCACTTCTTTCCTGTGGACCAGAGAAAATATAACCCTATTAAATTCTTTGAATAAGATTTCTGGCAACTAAGCTTTTCCAACATCTAATGGACTATACCAGTTACACTTAAAGACAACGCTTCAGTAGGTGACTAGAACCTACCAGATTTGGTTGTGAAGGTTCGGCGGTATGTGTTGACATACTTGCGAACATCATCCTGTTTGGAGAGATCGAACAACTTCCGAATCTTTGATGCCCTCTTTGGACCTCTCATTCTTGGTTTCTCTGTGTCAGTCAATCCTGGAAGGTCATTCTCACCCTTTTTCACAATAACCAAGTTCAACACCGAGAGATCTGGACTGACGATGCATCCACGAACAGACTTTCTCCTTCTCTCTCCATTTCGCCTGCCATATCCACGGAAGCAAGGCGTTCCTAACAAAAAAGGGAAGAATAGAAATTAGTTCAATAACCTGTGCCGCTTGATGCTGTTAAAAGTAGAGCTCCAAGTTCAACAAGATGTGTGGCTTAAATAGCTTTCTATAAACTGCATCTAGAATGGTAATATTTTTAAAGTATAAAGAGTCCCCCTTCCACCAACCTCTGTGTAACAAGAGGCGAACACGTCCAGGGGTCAGTACTCCCTGCTTCATGGGAAAACCTTGCTTGTCACAGCCTCCCATAATCTTGAAAACATATCCTTTAAACTCCTGAAAGTTTTACCAAGATGTTATAATTATAGGTTATAGAATGTCCCTGATTGAAAGAAACTTCACATTTGGATACAAGTGAAAACATACCTCGCCCAGAGCATCTCCACTGACCTCTTGTGAGATCCTCTTGTCAAAAAATGCTCGGCTGTATCAATAATACATCAGTCAGTAAGAAATCATGGACACTGTGTTTTAAGGAGATAAGAACATATGTAAAATTGAAAGTTCTTGGAAAGTAGTGCAAAACAATGGCAATATCTTTCTTGAAAATGGTAATGATAGCAACTTTTATGTCTTTTGTCAAGTGGAAGTACAAGAACCAAATAAGAATATGTGTTCCCAATACACAGATTTAGCATCCTCCTAGACACCAAAGCAATGGTAAGCACCACTACTTAGGTTGCTGATTAAAAGTATAACATACAGTGCAAAATGAAGCAACGTATCCACAATTGATAGAATTAAGATCATTCAGTTTAGAAACACCATCTCAACAGGGATGTTGAGTAAAGGGATTGCACTAGTTTCCTTCAGCCCCCCCTTTTCCTTTGGGTAAAATACAAAAACCTCCCTTGAAGTTTCTGACAATCATAAAAACCTCCCTCTATTTTTGAAAAATTCAACAAATACCTCCCTTCCATCAATGACCAAGACGGAAAACATTAAAAAGATAATCATTTTTTTCAAAATACCTATTTTACCCTTTTATGAATTAAAATAACACTGTTCATCTTCTTCCTCACCACGCTACTAGAACACTATCCCACTCGACCATTTTGGTTCTACCTAGCTGACCGCTATTGAGTTCAGAAGATAATGGCACATCGATTATACAAGGAAAAGAGTCCCCGTCTCTCCACCTCTTCTAGATCGATCTCCTCGACTACGATTCTCTTGTGGCCACGGTTAATGGAACCATCAGCGTATTCCACCTGGCTTCCCCTATATCCGCTGGTAGAGGGTACTGATTACTGTGCCAGCAAATGCTAGGCCAATACCCAATGTTGATCCTAGCTATCTGGGTCTTGAGAGGGCTAGACTAGACAAGGTCGTAACCTTTGGCTATTTTTCCTATTTTTCCTTTTTTTGCACAAAGTGGCCTCTCTCATTCTTGAACCCATGTTCTCACTCTTGCCAAATCGAGATTTTAACATTAGACGAAGTAATGGCCTCTTCTGTGCCAGCAAATGCTACCTCCCATAATTCCAAAGATCATGGGGTTAAGGAATAATACTCATCAATGAAGGCATAGAGATGCCCCTCAAGAAGGGAAAAACATCCCAGAGCTTATTTAAGATACAAGATAGTACTGTTTTACAGAGGAACCCCTCTTTCATACTACGAGAATTCAACATTAACTTTTCTTAGATCCACTAGAACCAGTCGGTCAAATTCAGAAACTAAACAAGAATTCCCACCAAGAAAACGCAAAATGCCTGGTTGCTATCGCTAAAAAACAAAACGTTCAAGCAAAGGTTGAGGCATTAAAAGTTTTCTATAAACTATAGTGACAAAACTACAAACTTAAAATTTCCTAAAAAGTAGATCATGAGAACTGTTGACATGACGACTAGTCACTAATACCAGGCGACAAGTTACCCATTGGATCTTATTGTCTGCTTCTATCGAGTAAATACAGATCAATGATGAAATAGAGAGCAGATCATTGATTTGAAGAGTGAAGAAGGGCAATGGCACTCACAGTTTCTGATCATCGTCGATTTCAAGCTTTTTCTGGCATCCTGTAGTAGGATTTGCGATATTGAACTGCAGAGAAAATGAGGATGATTAAAACGAGAACAGGAGAGCTACGGTTCAGAAAGAAATTCCATAATAAGGTTTTTAGAACGAACCTTCATCTTCAATAGAGTGTCGCTACCGCAGCGGCGAGAAGACGAAGCGAAGAAGGTAAACGGAAATTCTCCTCCTTCAGGGCTACCGCAAAGATTTAGGGTTTTTGTGAAAGACTCCCACTCTAATATTTATACCATCATATGGTAGCTTAGTCTTTTTAAGAGTTGAGACGAATTCCTTCTATGTAGAGCACGTTATCCTAAATCTTAGCCGTTCATGTAGTTACAGGCAAAGTCAGGATAAAAAGTAAAAATTTTGTATCGCTAATGAAAATTAGCTGTTGATGGGCCGGGTAATCCGACGGGCTGGCCCGGACCGGCCCGTCCGTTATCGGGTTTGGACAAGATTTTAAGTCTATGGGCTCGGGCTCGGGCCCGGGCTTGGGCTTTAAATACTAGGCCCGATTTTTTTGGTTGGGTTTGGTCTTTTCCAAATAAGTCCAATCAAATAATATTATATATAATAAAAAATATAATATATAATATATAATATATTATTAATAATATAATTAATATATTATAAAATATCTGTTCATATTAAGCTTCGGGCTTTATATATGGTTGGTCTCAAGGTCAAGATCTACGCTCAATGTTCGGAACAGGTTCAAGGTCGAGCCTAATAATTTTATGTTAAGCTCAGCCTAAACCTGGGGATGTGTTACATTATGAATTGTTGAGGGGTAAAATGACCCTTCGGTTACGAGCTACCATGTGGTGCTCTAAACCGTCTCAAGACATCTCGGCGTCACACGTAGCATGACCTCGGAATGCTCCTCAACAAATTGGCTTATGCCACATAAATAACACCGACCTCGCTTACATAGTAGATCAATAGATCAGCAAATGAGACCCTCTAGGCGGTTTGCAACAACTCCGACCCGGGCAACTAGTGACTTGATGAACTAACTGACCTACATGGAATATCCTCCCTTATTTGTTTGCATCACTTAATGCCTCCGAAACGCACGGCGACACATCACCCACTTGACAGCGGTGAGCTTGATTCCTTCCACTTCTCAGGGAACCGGATAAGGGTCAATGCGATGCTGTGTGAGAGTACTCCGTAAGTATGAACGGATAAGGCCTATTACCGCTGAATATGTTGGACATGCTTTGACTGAACTCTGTAGTTTATATAAGGGTGACCCCTTGCCCTCTAACATATGCTTACACTATTATTCTCACTCTCTTGCTCTCTACTTTGAATCTCTGCCTACCGGCTCTCATTCCATCAAGTATTTAATACTAACTTAACCGTTGGAGCTTCCTTGCCCGGGTCATCCCCCCCTTGAACGTGCCCGTGTGCATGCTCTCTGATGTGTTCTCTTGCAAAACCAGCCTGTCGACTTCACCAACCTTCGTTTAAGCTATCAAAGCCAGCAAGGACTCAACGCAGTTCATGCATCATCATGAATAAACTAAGGGGGGTGTTTGGTAAAGTGGTCTTAGGTTGTCGTTTTGTTTTTCGTCAATCAATACAAATTTGTGAAAGAGATTATTCCATGTAAAACGTTTTGATCAACCCAAATGCTATGCCATTATACCAATCATCATTATAATTCATGCCTTACCCCAACCATATGGGATATGGGTAGCTACATGAATCTTGTTTTGCTCATTCGTTCTATTTGAAGCCACTAGTAAGTGTGCATGTGGCAATTTTTTATGATGATGATGACGATAATAGTAAATAATATGTTTTTAAAGTTTTCTATAATTTTTTATATTAATTTGTATGTTTATAAAAAATATTCTTATTTGCCGCACATTATTGTTTAATAATGATAAATATATGATAATTAGAGATGTGCCTAAATATTTTTTAGAATAATTCTTGTATTTTTTATATTTTTTGTGTTTTTATGTTTTTTAAGCATCATCATCATCAAAAGGTTGAATTATTGACTTGCCACCAAACAAAAAAGCAACTCTATTTTTCAATTGTTTGTAAATTTGTATTTTATTTTTATCATCAATAATATCAATTACTCTTTATCACAATTATTTTTCTTTAATATGACTAATTAATGTTAGATTCGATGAAATAATTGAAATTAATACTCTAAATATAAGACTTAATGAAAAGGGATTGAATGAAGAGAAATGTAGTAGTTCAAATTATATTTGTGCCCTCACAATTAGAAAGGGACCACATTCAAAGGTGAGGGTATTCTAGTCAAGAAAAAGATTTAATAAATTACATTTTTTTGTCCTTACAATTAAAGAGGGATTTTAGTCAAACAAAAGTTATACATTATCATTCAAACTTTTAATAATAGTATAGAAATTTTGGGCTACACAATGGGGGGTAGTCCATCCCCCTTCCCTTAACCCTTTGGGGTATTTTAGTCAAACAAAAGTTATACACTATCATTCAAACTTTTAATAATAGTATAGAAATTTTGGGCTACACAATGGGGGGTAGTCCATCCCCCTTCCCTTAACCCCCCCCCCCCCTCCCAACATTAGTGGCAGCGGGATTTGATCCCAGGTCTCTACTCCAACGAATCAAAGAACCAACCAACTGAGCTCTACTCTAATTTTATTAGACTTTGAAGTATTAATTCTTGCTCTATTCATGGGTGTTGTTACAAGAATCCAACGTTGTCAGGTGTATGGTGAGTTGTGAGTTGTAAGACACCATTATGGCAACATACTTTTCAGCATTCCAGGACCAATCGATCTTAGTAACTCTTTGTGGGTAAAAATGTTGACCTTGATTCAACTATTTAAGATTGAAGATGATGGGGTTGTAGGGAATAAAAGATGTGGAAGTGGAGATATATTGTCAAACAATTATATGATGGATAAATATCAAGAATCAATTCCTTGTGAATTTAAGCCGATGGTGAAATAGGCACACCACCTAGTCATTCAAGTAGGTTTCTATAAGTGCTAATATACTAAGGAAAGAGCAAGGGTGGGAATGGACCAATTAGAACAGAGATGTTTAGGGCTTGAATAGTCATGTGGTTTCTTAATGAAATTATCAATTATTTATCCAAAAGAATGCTATTTCTTGTTTGAGTAGGCTCCTAAATTACTAAAAGAAGCTTCTTTCAGTATTGCCACATGAGTGGTGATTATTTCTTTAAACATTTAAAGAAACAATCACATGAATGTGAGTAGCCTTTGTAACTAAAAAGTTTCATCCCAACTTCAAAGAATTACTTCAATCTTGTTGACCTCAATTACTAGAGATGTTTTTATCTTCACAATGCCAATGGCTTCTAGAGACCAACAATAGGAGATGCTTTAACAACGCAACATGTTTGCTACAAGTCCTTAGGGGCATTCTAGTAAACGGCATCCATCCGCACTAATGGAGCTTTGTTTTTTCTCTTTGGGTTAAGGCCTCACATCTTCCCTACCCACCCTATGTATCGTTTATGTGCTCTACTTAAAAATATGATACAAGGTGGTTCAATATGATGACGTAACTTTGGAGAATAGCAAAAACTATGCAACCTAATTCATGAAGGTAAAGATTCTTTATTTTATTTTTCGTTTTTCCCTTCTATATCAGGAAATATAATCAAAAGTGTTGATATATTTTAATGAGTTAATTTCTTAGGGTCCATTTGGTTCATATCCGAAATCGGAATCAGAATGGTCTATTCCCATAGTCTATTTGGTTCAGATAGGAATGGAAATGGGAATTGGAATTAGCAGGAATGAGATTTCATTCCCAAGGGAGGGGCAGGGAATGGCCATTCCCTCAAATGGGGGAATGCCATTCCAGCAGGAATGAGAATGGGATTCTAATTCCAGTCAACCAAACAGTTGGAATCGGAATAGTCCATTCCGATTCCAATTCCAAACCCTATTCCCACGAACCAAATGGGGCCTTAGTTTGGATTTTCTTTTTTATGGTAAATATTTATTATTGGTTACTCATTTGAAGCTGATGAATATTTTATTTATATATATGTAATCAACTAAACAATTTGCATCCCCAGATTGAAACTCTTAATTTCATATTAGTTAATATAAATAATTTCCACCATAAATTGTAGAAAGTATGTCTTTAGTTTTATATTTTGAAAATTTCTATTCTCAAATGACTGGTTTCAAAAGTTAGAGATGAAGGGATGGAAGATCCATCATATAGATGACCGAACCCTGCAGAAAGGTTGGGTGAAATTTTAAAAATTTCTTTTCTCCTATCCGGAAATCGCATTCCCTAATTTAGAAAACTGCATTTTTAAGGTTTGTTCTTGAAACCAAAACCGAACTAGATCTGAAACCAATAGGAAGTAAGGGATATACCTGATACGAAGTAGCAGGGTAAATGCAATTGTCGGAGTCCCTTGCCGAACTAGATCTGAAACCAATAGGTAAATGCAATTACCTAGATCTGAAACCAAAACCGAACTAGATCTGAAACCAATAGGAAGTAAGGGATATACCTGATAATATTTATTATCAAATATTATTAAATCTATTATAATTATTCTTGTGTTTTTGATAAATTTGTAAAGTTACTTACCTGGGTAAATGCAATTACCTGGATAAATTTTTCTCGAAAAACACTTACTCAAGTACATATTCTTTTATTTCTTAGGTAAATAAATGACCATTTTAACAAGAAAAGTCCATTATTAAAAGGGACATTTTTGTCCCATTCAAGTGTTGACAACTTTAGCCCTATGTGGAAAAGTTATTTACCCACCTAGGATATGGATATCACTTTCTTGGATAAGTGATACCCCCAATAAGTTAGATTAAAAATGACAAATATTATTAATATGATAAATAAAGATTATTAAAATATTAATACAATTCAACATATCAATTGAAAATAATTAACAAGTGGTAACTCGATTGGCATGTTAGCTGGGTACGCGTAGTAGAAATGCGTATTGAATCCCGCTATTACCAACTACGTTAAAAAGTTGATGTATCGTATTAAATACGAAAAAAAAAAAAGAAAATAACTTTTACCGGATTTTTTTGGTAACAAATTTCTCCGAGACTTAACAGTAATGATAATAATCAAATCAACTTTACTAATAAATACAATATAGATTAGAGGGCCCGGCAGATAAAGCAGTGCTCTGCAGATAAAGCACCCATTTGGGAGGGATGAAGCGTGCAGCCGCTCGTGTTTTCGGAGGTGAGTTCCACTCGGCTGTCCATCAGTATTTTAACGGCTGTTGGCTTCAGCATCTTTAAATAGCTTATTTGGAGTGCTTCAAAGCAGCTGAACAGCTTAGCTGAATCTTCAGTTCAGCGCCCCTGCCCCCCAAACAGGCCCTATGCAACAATGACAAACACACATTTAAAGCACATATATCTACAAATACAACATAACAAGGTTCCTGTGTGCAAGGGACGATCTTCAACTGGATGAACTGTGGACACACAGAGTTGTTGAAAGAACTCTCCACTTTTTGCCGATCTTCAACTGGATCACATTGCAAGTTATATATACAGTCATAAAGCACAAACAAAGTCACCACTTGTCTCAGTATCATCTATGTCAGCATCTGAATCCATATCATCAAGATCCATGCTGCCTCCAATGAGATGACTGCCAAGCTTGGGCCCTTCAGCTGGTTTCCGTGCCTCTTGTATTATAAATAATGTATCTTCAATACTTTGAGATGTATCATTTATGTCATTTCTCTGCAAGCTTACTTCTCCTTCCATTAATTCTATTGGCAAGTTCTTTAAGAACCATGGGTGCATTATAATTTCCGGAATGGTTATCCACTGAAAGGAAAAAAAGTGAAAGGTACTAAAGAGAAGCTCAAAAAAAGAAGAAAAAGAACATGAAAATTTCCATGAAATAGTTGGGTACAAAACCATAAAACAGATTACCTTTTCAGGGTTAGCCACAAAAATCCGGGATAGAAGATGTTTACATTCCAAGGACACTCGGACATAGTTGGGAATAGAGTAGTGGACGCTAAGTATGCGCTGCCAGAAGTCATAATACATCCAATTTAAATTCGATAACAGAGGAGTGAGCTGTGAGCAGGTGGATGAATTACAGTTGCTAGCATTACTCACCCCAATTGTCTTGCGAAAGTTCCTAGGATCATCAGGATCTTCAAACGGATAAGCGCCAACCAGCATTACATATAATGTGACCCCACAAGACCAAACATCTGCAACCTGTAGTACTCAACGATTACATAAAGCATTTTAAAGTGAACAAATTAAAACTGAAGGACGTTAAAAATGGTTAAACTGAAGTGAATAGAAGATAGATACATCATTAATATCACCTTTCCATCATATTCCCTTCTTGATAGGACCTCTGGTGCAATATAAGCTGGAGTTCCTACTTTTGATTTGGGTTGAGAATGGAAGACAGATGACTGCAAGGCAAGGCGAGGTTCAGTTAGTAAACAGAGTGATTGAAGTGATTAGGGCCATTTAGTTTCAGTAAATATCAATTACCTTTGAATACCCAAAATCGCATATTTTAAGGCGTGGTGCTGTGCCCCCATCCAAAAGTGTGTTTTCCAGTTTAAGATCTCTATGACAAATTTGCTACAATAAATGAATCAAATTAAAAGGGTTCAACTAGAGATTTAAGAGATAGAGTTCGTTCTTTCATGAAAGGATGCACTAATCATTTAAACAAGAAGGGTGAGTTATACCATTGAATGACAGTAGCTGACCCCCGAAATAAGTTCTTGTATGAGTTATACCTTGCAGGGAGAACAGGTAACCTTATATTACTTAGCAATGATACTTTGTTCCACAATTTCCATCTATGGATACAGATGCATCAATAACTACAAACTCAAATAGACAGTCCATCTTTTAGATGTGAAAGAATCCTAGAAAATAGCATAAAGAACAAAGTCCAAATAACATAATTACAAACACTTTCTATCACCAGTAACCACAGCTCTAATGTGTATAATACAAGATTCTCATTTTTCATCATGACATCTCTTTATTTTACCTCATCTTCACTGAACCTACCAGCATTACATATCCTCTCAAAGAGTTCACCGCCAGCAGCATATTCCATGACTATGGCTAGATGAGTAGGTGTTAGAAGGACCTGCAGGAATTAGGCTTGTTATACCTGAATATCCATTTTCCAATAAAAGCAATTGTGGTCCCTTTTTGTTTGAGATTCCCAAATGACTGAATGAATGCTTAAATAAAAACAACTGAGATAATCCTATGAGCAGACTTCAAGTTACATCTTTGAGCATAATACACGAATTAAATCAGTACTTGACCATTCTCAAAATTCAACTTTAATATCATAAATAAATAAAAGAGATGATGGACAACTACTAAAGATCCAATCAGGATAAAATTGCTTCGAAAACCCTTGTCCACCTAAGAAAGTGAAAGAAGCAAGCTCAACCATGAACAGTTTTTCTCCCAGCACCAAAGTGGTTAATACGATTTAAATTTTTTAGTGAATCAAACCATAGTAGCTGTTCTTTTGAACAAAGCATAAAAGCATATAGACGTTCAGTTTTCATTTTACTAAATTATAAAGAAATAAAGGGGAAAACCCCAAAAATACTGACTAAATGCAAAAAGAGAAGGGATATGGACAAAGTGTAGCATATTCTGTTGTTGATTATAAATACTCTGCTCCTTGTACAGATACTTCTAGTTAAAGTTGTTAAACACCCCAACAAAATAAAAGAAGAAAGAAATAAAGGGGGAAGGGCATTTAGAAAGTAACAATAAAATTAAACACACCTCCTTGAATCTAATTATGTTGGGATGCTTCAAGGATCTATGGTTCAGTATTTCCCTCCGTACATGTTCATCAATCTGTAACCGAGAAAACTATCGATTACTCCACGGCAACAAAAACCCATACAAGAATTCATGGTGAGACTAAGTACATATATGGAAAAGATGCAATGAGAAGGAAAGAAATAACGAAAGAAAATCAAATTAGGAAACCCGGAAAACAAGCTAGGGGGTTGGAGCAGATACCCTACCTTCTGCCCTCTCTCAATAAGCTTGACAGCGAAGAGCTCCTTAGTCAACCTATCTCTAACAAGCTTGGCAACCCCAAAGTTTCCAGATCCAATATCTTTCAGTACCTCGTAGCGCTCCATGACATGGGACAATACAGAAACAAAGCAATCTCACTCTCTCTCTGGCTACTTCTCCGCTGCTGTTTACTTCCACATGGATGTGATGAATGAATGGGAGGGAGAAACAACAAACGAATACAGGAAGTTACCAACCAAAAATAAAACAGAAATATACCAAATGATGATTCTGAGAGGCAGCAGCGAAATGCATTTCCCATCAGCTAAATGTGGTTGAAGTGGGGGAGATTTTCAGCCGGGAGACAGATACATAGAGACGGAGAACGAGAAAGACATGTGGCAGAGTAGAATCCATTTCGTTAGCAGGAGATAAAAGGACTGACCCGGCTAAACATGAAAGTGGAGCCCAAAATCTTTCCGAGGGTATACGTGGGCGATCGACGGTGTGACAGTGAACAAATTTTCGGTCTTTGAACGCACCAAAGAGCGAATGTTAACGCATGTCACAACAGTAAATCAAAAGATGATGGTGACGGGAATGTTGGTAGGAGTCACCATTATTTTCTAATGGTCAGGAATCAGGATAAAGTTGGGAGGGACCATTTGATTTCAAAGCGAAAGGAGTGCACGACTACACGCCGTGTATTTGTATTACATTAGAATTTAGAACACTGCCACCACCGGAGTGTCTTGGCGGTTGCTTCATTTCTTGTTTTCAGCCATATCCCTTTCTTTTTGTTTAAAAGGGCAAATCCACAGTGATCCAATCCTATTCAATTGAATCGGGACCAACCACAATTGTATATGTGTCAGGCTGAAGCCAATTTAAGATTATCTTTATCATATAGAAAGGGGGCTATTTAAGAAGTTGGGATAAGATAAAATCTTTATTGATTTTGATCTTTTAAACATTTCTAGGTATTAATACCCTTGTTTTTTAATCTTACTTTAGGCGTTGCGATCTTCCACTTGCAAGTAACCTTTACTGAGAAACAGCAGGCCTTTGGCCACCTGAGTGACCAAGTTTTAAATCTTGGGATCAGCTTCTCTGTCTATCTATAGCTTGTAGGGATAAAGCTGCGTGTACATCTGTCCCTTCCCAGATTTAGTGTATATTGACCGATTGAACCAGGCGACAAGCCCATCTAAGTTATTTAGCTCAGTGTTCTCTGTTAGTTTGGTGGTAGGTTATGCCTTAACAAAGAGAACCAAAGAGAAGAAGAGGATTCTTGTTTTGTACAGCAAAGTTTGACATACTAAATTGGTAATGATCTCTGTTAGTTTAGGGGCAGTATCTATGCTTTCTCACTCAAATAAACCCATTTTTCCAAATTATCCTGTTTCTAGTTTGGATAAGTTTTAATCAATTTCGATATGCATTTTATTCGCCAATATGCTTATTTGACTTTTAAAACAATCTAATCGATATTTAGACTAATTGGAGTACACTACCTAGTACCAACCCCAAGGGATGTCAAATAAGCTATTGGACATTGGGCTTGTAATTTGGTACGAGGGCTTGGCTCAGGCATCAATCGGATTTTAATTTGAACTCGATCCGGTAAGAGACAGATTTGGGTACCTTCCTTGATCCGAATAAATCAGATTGAATAGAAAAAGTTCTGAATTTAACTTAAATATACCCTGATCTCATCTATTAGTTATGAAATATTTTATATTATACTAATGGGGAACTATGCGATATATGGGTTTTGTTAAGAGAAAGCTAAACAATAAAAATACATAAGAGTATATAATTGTTTTATATTTTAACTTTTTAATAATCAATCAGATCAAACTCAACCTGAGTTGGTCGATTTTCTAGTATTTCCGATCGGCTTTGGTTTAGTAATTTTCTAACACAACCAAGTTGGGTCAGTTTTGGTTTGATCATTTGTAAACCGATCAAAATTGAATCGATCTAACCATATATATTAATATTTTATATTTTAAATATAATTTTTAATACGGGAAAGTGGGAAAATTCCTATATTTCTTAGTCTAAAATATTTTATATCGTGAATTTAAGTTTTTTAATTTATTTTTTAATAATATCACTATAATTTATTAAATTTAAATTTAATTTTTAAGTTAAATATTTTGAACAAACAAACCAAATAAAAAATAGACCCAAACCAAATACAACCCGAGTTGGTAGATTTTCACTAATGGTCAATTTGATTCGGGTGACAAACTCCCACTTTACTAGGTCAATTTGGTTGCTGAAACAACCTGCAACTAAACTGAACCAATCCTTAAACACTCCTAATTTTAAATAAATTAATAGTATAATCTCTAGTAAATAACAATTGTTTAATCTTTAATAATTATTGAAAATTAATAGCAAAAGTACACAATCATTGAAAATAAATTTATAATGAAAACATAATAGATATCTAATAAAAATACATTAAATACTGAAGATATATTAAATTAGTCAATAAATAGTGTAATCTCTAATAAAAATTACTCTATAAATTATAAAAAATGTATAATTACTAAAAATAAATTTGTAACAAAAATACAATAAATACGATAAATTAAATTTCAAAAGTTAAATAATAGTTGTTTAACCTCCAATAATAATTGACAATTTTTCTGTTGAATAACAAAAAAAGATTTATAAACAATTATTGAAAACATATTTATCAAAAAATATAATAAATAATTTCTGAAAATAAAATAAATATTAATTTTAGTATATATAAATATATAATGAATATAGACTATTATTATAAAATTATTACTAATAAGTATTTATTTTTTTGAAAGTTATTTTCTATAATTATTAATTGATATAAGTGAAATTAGTTATTTACAATATTATTTATCTATTTAAATGATATTGTTATTTCATTTTTTAAAATATTAATTATTTATTGAATTTAATAATCCATAAAATTATAATTAGTACTATCATTACATAATTCAATATTGCTAGCTATCTTTAATGTTTTGTTATTTAAGATATTTAGTTATTGAAATTTTTAAAAAATGTTTTATTTTTTAATGTTAAATTGTTATTATTTGAATAACATTTAAATTGAATAATTCATAAAATTATAATTTATATTGTTACTACATAATTTAGTGATGAATTTTTTAAAAATATAGAATTATCAATAATATGAATTTTATTAAATCTCTTATATTTTGAATAAATATTTTAAATTTAGTATATAATTTTTTTATAATATTTAAATAATTCTAAAAATTTTTAATTAAAACTTTCTTTAGATAGATATAGATAAAAAGTAGGGGAGAGAATAAATTGGAATAGAGATAGTTTAGGAGAGAATCTCTCTACTAAATTAGAGATAACTTAAGTGATAAATAGGAGTTAGAGATAACTTAGGAGATAAATAGGAATTAGAGACAATTGAAGAGAAAGTGGGGGAAAGTGGTGCCTATATACATGATATAATATATTATTTATATTATATCACAAAGTGTTTTTCTTACAATCCAAATCGAATCCAATATCCAATAAGTTCAAATTCAAATCATAATCTATTAATCTTGGAAATCTGATGGATTCTTATCATATCCGGATAAATTGGATTTCTTATCGAATCAGATCAAATATAGCCTTTACCAAATCAGATCTGATCCATTTGCAACCTTAGGCATGGGATCGGAAGATCCACTCTAGGCCAATGAGGAGAGGATCCTCTAGTGGCACAATGGTATCATGCTAATCTCATTTAATATAAGGTTGTGAGTGATCCTACACCCTTTACCAAAGCAGATCTGATCCATTTGCAACCCTAGGCATGGGATCAAAAGATCCTCTCCAGGTCAGTGAGGAAAGGATCCTCTAGTGGCCCAATGGTATCATGCCAATCTCATTTAGTATAAGGTTGTGAGTGATTCTACATGCTAGAGAGATTGCTAGAGAGATTGTAGATTTGTTTCTTTGTTTCTACTCCTTCATGAGTTTTTCTGTTTCCTTAGTAAATCCTTTATCCTTTCAATAACCCATCTTCTTTGTTTAGCTACAACTTACTTTGTGTCATGACCACTATGGAAGGAGATGAACTTATAGGTTCTCAAAAAGAGGCAAAGGATCATTATGTGCTAGACAATTTGGAAGAGCTTCTTGTTGCTAAATCCTTGCCTCTAAAGATATTAGAAGTTCTATTCAATGATGGCATTCTAGCAAATGAAGAAAGTGAACTATGCCTTTTAGGAAAGATGATTTGTGATAAACCTCTAAATCTTGATGGAGTTAAGGAGGCTATCATGAACTCTTAGACGTGAGGATGGGGTTTAAGATTCCTGATCTTCACAGTAATATCTTCTTGTTCCGGTTTAATCATGAGCTAGACAAAAACAATGTTTGGGATGAACAACCATGGTCCATCAAAAGTTACCGTTAATATTAAAAGAATGGACACTAGGAGTCCCTATGAGTAGGGATGTCAATTGGACTGGATTTGGTCCAATCCGATCCAGTCCAATGTGAGTCCATTATAAATGAGCCAGGTCCAATCCAATCCAATGAATATTTTGGACCATTTTGGACCGGTCCAATTAAATGTTTGGACCGTTCAATCTATTCAAATTCATTTTGATTTAGATTGGTTTCAATCCAAACCCGATCCATTGACACCTATATTCTTATCTTATATCAATAGACCAGATATTGGCTTAATCCAACCCAATCCAATATAAATTTATTATGGATGAACCAGGTCCAGTCCAATCTAATAAATATTTTGGATCGGATTGGTCCAATCCAATATGTCTTGTTGGTCCATCCAATCCGTCCAAATTGATTTTGGATTGGACCCTACTGGATAGGGTTCAATCCAAAACCGGTCCATTGACACCCTTACCTATGAGTGATTACTTTTCCATTAACACCTTTTGGGTTAGAATAGTTGACCTCCCAGTGGACTACATGACAGTTGGTGATGGTATGGCTTTGATTAAGAAAGTTGGTAAACCCATTAAAGTTGAATTCAGAAACAATATTTATACCACTCAATGGGGGAGGTTCATCAAGGTTCAAGTTAGAATTGATATCACTACGCTATGCCCACATGTGTGTTTTGTATTAATTCTTATGGTGAGAAGGCTTGGTTTAATTTTTAGTATGAGAGACTTGCTATGTTTTATTACTTTTGTGATATTCGTGTTCACGAAGAATCTAGGTGCTCCACCAAGTTTGAACTAGAGAAGTGATTAAAGAGCTCATGGTAAGTCTTTAACGATAAAGAAGAACAACAATCYTGGGTCCCACTCTTCTAGTCCTTGGTTAATGCCCATGTAGGGGTCCCTGACCACTTGCATCTTGCCTTAAAGATTTAGAAATTGTAGAATCAAAATGATGGTATGAGGAAAACTTCAAGATCTAGTGATTTGTGGTTCAAGGGTGGGTCTTCTCCAACAAAATATAATGCCCAAATACTCCCTACCCCTATGGAGATTAGCCCCTATAACCTCAACTCCAAGAATATAAGTAGGTGTTTGGCATTGGTGTTGGGAGCATTGCACTGTTTTTTTGAGAAAAATGGTGCTGGGCATGTGGAGTCCTTATTTTTTGTTTGGAACCAGTGCTGCCATATAGGCTGTTTTTCGAGAAAACAACACTGGTTTTGTTTGGTATCGGTGTTGACAACAATGTTTTTAACATGGTCTATATTATCCAACGTCCAAGATGATGCCACATCATTGCACCACTGGCAACAATG